ATATTGTGAGAACATGTAGAATGAATCAGCATTCCCGTTTACTGGTAATTACCAGTTTTTACCGGTAAAATTAGGCTTAGACAGGTAATTCATGTGACCGGCAAATAAAGTACCTTATTAATCTTTTTTGTTGAACAAAACATCAGTGATATTCATATACCGTATTCGACGTAATAAGCGCCCAGGGCGCTCTCAAAATTGGGAATAGGGAGCTTTTTTTAAATATTATTTTGGTGAAAAAAACATAGTTAAAAGATAAATTTCTTGGTTTATGCTGACAGCCTGAAATGTTTATATACGACAGATATATTTTTCAAGAATTTATTTGCCCATAATTAAGGGTGTATATAACAAACTAGTGCGTATAATACGCGAATAAATAAGTCTTGTGTACATTGATCAATCGGAAGGGGTGCTAATTGGGTTTGTTCACTAGCCAATATATCAGCAAATATCGCCGTGGGCGCTTATTAAAGCGGGGTGCTTATTACGTCGAATACGGTAAGTACATTTTTCAAATATAGTCAGCTTGTCTACAAGGAAGGCAATACTTGATGTCATATGTGCATGTTGATCATTTGACCTGAATAATGGCTGGTGTTCCAAGTGAGTAGCTCCAGCAACTGATATCACTGTTTGTGATGGACTATGAGCATGTAATGACACCTGTTGATAAGGGCCAGTGCTGCTGTACAGCATTGTAGTGACAGGCATTGTACTAGCCTACACAGGAGGCTCACACCATTTGTCACTCTCCTGTGGATGGTCATGCAGAACATGTAGGGCATCAGTCACTCATTAAAGGAGCTGGAACTTGCTGTGCCACCCGTGTGTCCCATAGGCATTGTAGGCTTGCTTGAATTCTTTGATCATTGTTTAAGTTAAAGCATTCATTTTACATTCTGGCATTGTAATTAATTTCGGATTGTGTATGTAACGTGGGCACAAATAGAGGCAACCTACACTGGGTTGTAGGGAGTCGTGTAACACATGATGTACCGTATTCAACGTAATGAGCGCCCCACTCTAATAAGCGCCCATGGTGATATCTGCTAATATATTGTCTAGTGAACAATCCCAATTAGCACCTCTTCCAATTGATCAATGAACACAAGACTTAGTTTTTCGTGTATAATATGCACTTGTGTGTTATATGCACCCTTCATTATGGGCAATTAAATTCTGGAAAAATATATCTGTTGTGTATAATACACACAGACTTCTCTTTTGTATCATTTCAGGTCCTCAAACGTAGAAATTTACGATCTTTCAACTCTGTTTTTTTTTCACCAAAATTATCTTCTAATAAGAGCTCCCTATTTCTAATTTTGAGAGCGCCCTGGCGCTTATTACGTCGAATACGGTAATGGCTGCTGAGGATACTGAAGAAAGTGTTGTGTGGGGCTACTACACTGAGTGAGACTGAGTTTGTTGTTAATTAGGATGCACTGAAACACTGTAGCAATGTATTAGGCTTGTGTAATGTATTAGGGATGCCAGATATGTATGGCAATGTATTAGGGGAGCCAGATATGTATGGCAATGTATTAGGGATGCCAGATATGTATGGCAATGTATTAGGGATGCGGGATATGTATGGCAATGTATTAGGGATGCCAGATATGTATGGCAATGTATAAGGGATGCCCAATATGTATGGCAATGTATTAGTGATGTCTTATATATATGGCAATGTATTAGGGATGCCAGATATGTATGGCAATGTATTAGGGATGCCAGATATGTATGGCAATGTATTAGGGATGCCAGATATGTATGGCATTGTATTAGGGATGTCTGATATATATGGCAATGTATTAGGGATGCCAGATATGTATGGCAATGTATTAGGGATGCCCAATATGTATGGCGATGTATTAGGGATGCCCAATATGTATGGCATTGTATTAGGGATGTCTGATATATATGGCAATGTATTAGGGATGCCAGATATGTATGGCAATGTACAAGGGATGCCCAATATGTATGGCAATGTATTAGTGATGTCTGATATATATGGCAATGTTTTTGGGATGCCAGATATGTATGGCAATGTATTAGGGATGCCAGATATGTATGGCATTGTATTAGGGATGCCCAATATGTATGGCAATGTATTAGGGATGCCAGATATGTATGGCAATGTATTAGGGATGCCAGATATGTATGGCAATGTATTAGGGATGCCAGATATGTATGGCAATGTATTAGGGATGCCAGATATGTATGGCATTGTATTAGGGATGCCCAATATGTATGGCAGTGTATTAGGGATGCCAGATATGTATGGCATTGTATTAGGGATGCCCAATATGTATGGCAATGTATTAGGGATGCCAGATATGTATGGCAATGTATTAGGGATGCCAGATATGTATGGCAATGTATTAGGGATGCCAGATATGTATGGCAATGTATAAGGGATGCCCAATATGTATGGCAATGTATTAGGGATGCCAGATATGTATGGCAATGTATTAGGGATGTCTGATATATATGGCAATGTATTAGGGATGCCAGATATGTATGGCAATGTATAAGGGATGCCCAATATGTATGGCAATGTATTAGTGATGTCTGATATATATGGCAATGTTTTGGGGATGCCAGATATGTATGGCAATGTATTAGGGATGCCAGATATGTATGGCATTGTATTAGGGATGCCCAATATGTATGGCAATGTATTAGGGATGCCAGATATGTATGGCAATGTATTAGGGATGCCAGATATGTATGGCAATGTATAAGGGATGCCCAATATGTATGGCAATGTATTAGTGATGTCTTATATATATGGCAATGTATTAGGGATGCCAGATATGTATGGCAATGTATTAGGGATGCCCAATATGTATGGCAATGTATTAGGGATGCCCAATATGTATGGCAATGTATTAGGGATGCCAGATATGTATGGCAATGTATAAGGGATGCCCAATATGTATGGCAATGTATTAGGGATGCCAGATATGTATGGCAATGTATAAGGGATGCCAGATATGTATGGCAATGTATTAGGGATGCCAGATATGTATGGCATTGTATTAGGGATGCCCAATATGTATGGCAATGTATTAGGGATGCCAGATATGTATGGCATTGTATTAGGGATGCCCAATATGTATGGCAATGTATTAGGGGTGCCAGATATGTATGGCAATGTATTAGTGATGTCTTATAGATGTGGCAATGTATTAGGGATGCCAGATATGTATGGTAATGTATTAGGGATGCCCAATATGTATGGCGATGTATTAGGGATGCCCAATATGTATGGCAATGTATTAGGGATGCCAGATATGTATGGCAATGTATTAGGGATGCCAGATATGTATGGCAATGTATTAGGGATGCCCAATATGTATGGCGATGTATTAGGGATGCCCAATATGTATGGCATTGTATTAGGGATGTCTGATATATATGGCAATGTATTAGGGATGCCAGATATGTATGGCAATGTATTAGGGATACCAGATATGTATGGCAATGTATAAGGGATGCCAGATATGTATGGCAATGTATAAGGGATGCCCAATATGTATGGCAATGTATTAGTGATGTCTTATATATATGGCAATGTATAAGGGATGCCAGATATGTATGGCATTGTATTAGGGATGTCTGATATATGTGGCAATGTATTAGGGATGCCAGATATGTATGGCAATGTATTAGGGATGCCCAATATGTATGGCGATGTATTAGGGATGCCCAATATGTATGGCAATGTATTAGGGATGTCTGATATATATGGCAATGTATTAGGGATGCCAGATATGTATGGCAATGTATAAGGGATGCCCAATATGTATGGCAATGTATTAGTGATGTCTGATATATATGGCAATGTTTTGGGGATGCCAGATATGTATGGCAATGTATTAGGGATGCCAGATATGTATGGCATTGTATTAGGGATGCCCAATATGTATGGCAATGTATTAGGGATGCCAGATATGTATGGCAATGTATTAGGGATGCCAGATATGTATGGCAATGTATTAGGGATGCCAGATATGTATGGCAATGTATAAGGGATGCCAGATATGTATGGCAATGTATTAGTGATGTCTTATATATATGGCAATGTATTAGGGATGCCAGATATGTATGGCATTGTATTAGGGATGTCTGATATATATGGCAATGTATTAGGGATGCCAGATATGTATGGCAATGTATTAGGGATGCCCAATATGTATGGCGATGTATTAGGGATGCCCAATATGTATGGCAATGTATTAGTGATGTCTGATATATATGGCAATGTATTAGGGATGCCAGATATGTATGGCAATGTATAAGGGATGCCCAATATGTATGGCAATGTATTAGTGATGTCTGATATATATGGCAATGTTTTGGGGATGCCAGATATGTATGGCAATGTATAAGGGATGCCAGATATGTATTGCATTGTATTAGGGATGTCTGATATATATGGCAATGTATTAGGGATGCCAGATATGTATGGCAATGTATTAGGGATGCCCAATATGTATGGCGATGTATTAGGGATGCCCAATATGTATGGCAATGTATTAGGTATGTCTGATATATATGGCAATGTATTAGGGATGCCAGATATGTATGGCAATGTATAAGGGATGCCCAATATGTATGGCAATGTATTAGTGATGTCTGATATATATGGCAATGTTTTGGGGATGCCAGATATGTATGGCAATGTATTAGGGATGCCAGATATGTATGGCATTGTATTAGGGATGCCCAATATGTATGGCAATGTATTAGGGATGCCAGATATGTATGGCAATGTATTAGGGATGCCAGATATGTATGGCATTTTATTAGGGATGCCAAACATGTATGTTTCATTGTGAGTTAGAAGCGCTTGACATTGAAACCTGTTGTACTCTCTAGCCTGCCCCTGTTTTATTGTGAGTTAGAGGTGCTAGACATGGAAACCTGTTGTACTCTCCAGGCAGTATTATTGCTTCAATGGGCAGTTAATAAATGCATTTCTTTTTCAGATTTATTGTTGTTCCAATTGCTAAAAGCCTCGGCCTTAAAGAGAGAAATGTCCACCTTGTGCCAAACCAGAATTTGGAGGCCATGTATAGAAGTATCAAAGGGAAGCAGCTGTCGAAGACAGACATTGAGGTGAGAAGGGACCTGTGCTTAACTGTATTGTAGAGGCCAATGTAGAACATGTCTGAGGGAGCATCTGTCGAAGACAGACATTGAGGTAAGAAGGGACCTGTGCCTAACTGTATTGTGGAGGCCAATGTAGAACATGTCTGAGGGAGCATCTGTCGAAGACAGGCATTGAGGTAAGAAGGGACCTGTGCCTGACTGTATTGTAGAGGCCAATGTAGAACATGTCTGAGGGAGCATCTGTCGAAGACAGACATTGAGGTGAGAAGGGACCTGTGCCTGACTGTATTGTAGAGGCCAATGTAAGACATGTCTGAGGGAGCATCTGTCGAAGACAGACATTGAGGTAAGAAGGGACCTGTGCCTGACTGTATTGTAGAGGCCAATGTAAGACATGTCTGAGGGAGCATCTGTCGAAGACAGGCATTGAGGTGAGAAGGGACCTGTGCCTAACTGTATTCTGGAGGCCAATGTAAGACATGTCTGAGGGAGCATCTGTCGAAGATAGACATTGAGGTAAGAAGGGACCTGTGCCTGACTGTATTGTAGAGGCCAATGTAAGACATGTCTGAGGGAGCATCTGTCGAAGACAGGCATTGAGGTAAGAAGGGACCTGTGCCTAACTGTATTGTAGAGGCCAATGTAAGACATGTCTGAGGGAGCATCTGTCGAAGACAGACATTGAGGTAAGAAGGGACCTGTGCCTGACTGTATTGTAGAGGCCAATGTAAGACATGTCTGAGGGAGCATCTGTCGAAGACAGACATTGAGGTGAGAAGGGACCTGTGCCTAACTGTATTGTAGAGGCCAATGTAAGACATGTCTGAGGGAGCATCTGTCGAAGACAGACATTGAGGTAAGAAGGGACCTGTGCCTGACTGTATTGTAGAGGCCAATGTAAGACATGTCTGAGGGAGCATCTGTCGAAGACAGGCATTGAGGTGAGAAGGGACCTGTGCCTAACTGTATTGTAGAGGCCAATGTAAGACATGTCTGAGGGAGCATCTGTCGAAGACAGGCATTGAGGTGAGAAGGGACCTGTGCCTAACTGTATTGTAGAGGCCAATGTAGAACATGTCTGAGGGAGCATCTGTCGAAGACAGACATTGAGGTAAGAAGGGACCTGTGCCTGACTGTATTGTAGAGGCCAATGTAAGACATGTCTGAGGGAGCATCTGTCGAAGACAGGCATTGAGGTAAGAAGGGACCTGTGCCTGACTGTATTCTGGAGGCCAATGTAAGACATGTCTGAGGGAGCAACCGTCGAAGACAGGCATTGAGGTAAGAAGGGACCTGTGCCTGACTGTATTCTGGAGGCCAATGTAAGACATGTCTGAGGGAGCATCTGTTGAAGACAGACATTGAGGTAAGAAGGGACCTGTGCCTGACTGTATTCTGGAGGCCAATGTAAGACATGTCTGAGGGAGCATCTGTTGAAGACAGACATTGAGGTAAGAAGGGACCTGTGCCTGACTGTTTTCTGGAGGCCAATGTAAGACATGTCTGAGGGGAGCATCTGTTGAAGACAGACATTGAGGTAAGAAGGGACCTGTGCCTGACTGTATTCTGGAGGCCAATGTAAGACATGTCTGAGGGAGCATCTGTTGAAGACAGGCATTGAGGTAAGAAGGGACCTGTGCCTGACTGTATTCTGGAGGCCAATGTAAGACATGTCTGAGGGGAGCATCTGTTGAAGACAGACATTGAGGTAAGAAGGGACCTGTGCCTGACTGTATTCTGGAGGCCAATGTAGGACATGTCTGAGGGAGCATCTGTTGAAGACAGGCATTGAGGTAAGAAGGGACCTGTGCCTGACTGTATTCTGGAGGCCAATGTAAGACATGTCGGAGGGAGCATCTGTTGAAGACAGACATTGAGGTAAGAAGGGACCTGTGCCTGACTGTATTCTGGAGGCCAATGTAAGACATGTCTGAGGGAGCATCTGTCGAAGATAGACATTGAGGTAAGAAGGGACCTGTGCCTGACTGTATTCTGGAGGCCAATGTAAGACATGTCTGAGGGAGCATCTGTCGAAGATAGACATTGAGGTAAGAAGGGACCTGTGCCTGACTGTATTCTGGAGGCCAATGTAGGACATGTCTTAGGGAGCATCTGTCAAAGATAGCTGTAGTTACATAAAGGTAGACAGAGACATGCCCAGCAAGACCAACCAGTAGCCAGACTTTGGCTGGGCCAATGCATTAACATAGGCTACAACACAGTACTAAGGCCACCTATGGAGGGTCATGATAAATTTAGACAGCTATAGGGGAGCAGTATGAATAAAAGGACACACATTTGGGGGATCATTGCAAGTAAAGTAGAAACTGTTGAGACGGTTACTAAATGTTTTAAACTTTACAAAAACTCCCCTTCCACCATTCCCTTAGTTTGGAAAACATTGGTGATTTGTCTGCATGCTCTTGCATGATTATGTGATTGATGTGACTTTTATACTTATTACTTCTTTTTTACATTTCAGAAAGCACAAAAACAAACTGATATGACAGAAAAACAAGTACAAAGATGGTTTTTCAAGCGTAGACTGAAAGATGTGCCAAGTAACCTCTTCCGATTCCGGGATCAGAGGTGCGTCTTTGCTCCCATACTGCACCCGCGTTTTGTCATCATGCGTATCACAACTGACTTGTATCTCTGACTGTAACTTGATAATCCAACTGATACTTGGTAGATGTTTGAACCAGGGGTCCGGAAAATTTAAAATCCCAATCGGACATTTGCATTTAGGCCACGCCCCCTTCAAATGGAGTATTTTAGTACGACTTTTCACACACATTACAAGTTTACGTATTCATAATATGATGAATTATGAATTGTTTCAATTTAAATTGTTTAATTCACCGGACAATTAATAACAAATAATATCATTTTAGATTTACATGGAAAACATACGTTTGTTTCTGTTATAATAACGATCTATTAACGTAGTGAACGGTCTAATTAATATTCATGAGTTATATTCATGAGTCTGCTCAAGTGTACGCGTTGTAACATTTGGATCGAGACTATTATCCCATATTTGGTTATCACGTGACCTCACGGGAAAAGGTTTTTTTTAAACTAAAGATTTTTTTAAAAACAAGACAGATAATTTAATCACAAATACTAAAATATCGTTGATAGCAATAGTTATTTGAATACTTTTTTCATCTGTACTTAATTATTGACCATAAAAAAATTGGATATCGATCGTCCGAGAAAGCAAAATGGCGGTCAATCAAGATTCAATATACGACTAGCTACTGAAAAAAATAAAATCTGCAAATCCTCATTGTATGTCAACCAAGTGAAAGCCGTTAGCCACGACTTACAAAATGATCGTCCAGACTTTGAGGGTTTGGCAGATCCGCTCGACTGATCTGCATCGGTCGACTGGGGGTCGTCACGCTTTCGCTTCTTGTCTGAGGTTACGTATCGTAGCAGTGTGAGGATAATGAGGTACATCGATGATGCAAGGTATTAATGTACAGTTGTAAACACCTTTCACTCAAATTAACAAGATTTTCTCAGTAATTAATCCTCGATTAATCAGTGTCAACTCAGTTTATTGCCTATTACAGTGATTGACCGATTGGACTATCATGTAGGTACGATGTATTTACAGCAATCAAAACAAACAAAGCTTGTCAGTGTAGTTAATCTTCATTGTGTTGCAACTGCGGACAGAAACTGCTCAGTCCTTATTGTTGATCATGTCCGGTCAAAATTTAAGAATGTCCGGACAATACTTTTTAAAATGTCCGGTAAGCAATATTTTAAACGGACATTTGAGATTCCCAATCGGACATGTCCGGCGCATATGACGGTTTCCGGACCCCTGGTTTGAACAAGTGTTTCATTTTGACCAATTATGTTATTTTTTAACCTTTTCCCTCCACACTGGTATGCAATATTCCTTTTTGCCTCGATCATATGACAGTGAAGAACAATGTATAACAATCACCTGAACACACCCTCCAACCACCTCGCTCCCAGCATGCTCCTGTACATCTCATCACCATTTCCTTCATCGTCCGTATTGGATGGACGTGTTTTGCTACGCTCCCAATTTATGATTGGAATAGACTTTGTTTGTTGTTTGTGTTTGCTGGTCTATTTTCTTAAGAAGAAGAAGAAGAAGTTTATTCATGAATGAATGCCATATGGCCCAGAGTTCATTTACAGGTATAATATATAGTATGTACATGCACAAATTTTCTTACATTCATTTCTGGTAGATAGAAGACTGATAAATTTTGGGACAGATGGTTGCACATGGTAACATTTTGGAATTAAATTTTCTCTACTACTTTTATAAAAAGGACAAATTAACAAATAATGGTATGATCTACAAGGGGTGTAACCGTGTTCATTAAAGATTTCCCCTGACCCACTTCCGATGGACCTAGTGGAATGAAACTTGGCATAGGTATTAGTCTTTCTCCACATAGGAACCACCAAGAGTTACACACTTCTCCCATCATTGAATGCAACTATGGAGACCTCCCTTGTAAAAGCCCTCATTTTGCGTCTCAAACCAGGACTTGACTCCAGAAATCAGTGTTTCATCATCTGTGAAACGTTTTCCCTTCAAAAATGACTTCATGGTTGGAAAGAGGTGGAAGTCAGATGGTGCAAGGTCAGGAGAGTAAGGAGGATGTGGAAGGATTTCATAGCCACAGGACCGCGCTTCTGTCTGGGCAGGAGACGGACACCCTTGGTCAGCATGCCACGCCTCTTAAGCTTGATAGCATCCCGCAATTTCCGCAGCTGTGAAGCTCCATAAGCTCCTGTAATTGTGGTACCCTTTGCCAAGAAATCCATCATCACTACTCCGTGCTGGTCCCAAAACACAGTGAGCATGACCTTGCCTGCAGAGGGTTGGACACGTGCCTTCTTTGGGGGTGGTGACTCCACATGCTTCCATTGCATCGACTGAACTTTAGTCTCAGGATCATAGTGATGGACCCATGTTTCATCCTGTGTGATAAGTCTATCAAAAAAGTTTGCCTGTTTTTTTTGGCACATGTCCAAAAGATCCTTTGAGCAATTGACTCGTTCCTGCTTTTGGGAAGGTGTGAGCAACCTGGGAATCCATTGTGAAGACACCTTATGCATGTTCAAATTGACATGGATGATTTTTTCCACTGATCTTGACATCTTGTGCTAACTGGCGAACAGTTATACGTCGGTCTGCCAAAATGGCGGTCTCCACTTGATGGATAGTGTCCTCATCAATGGCTGAATGGGGGCGACCAGGAATGGCAGCTGTTTCCACAGATGTCCGACCACACTTGAACTGGCGTTGCCAGTGTTTAACAACATCATATGATGGGGCATCTTCCCCATAAGTTGCTTTCATTTCATTGAAAGTTTTTTTTGGTGTGCGACCTTTCAAATATAAAAACCTAATCACTGCTCGGTATTCTACTGGCTCCATTGTCACACCCTACTCGATCACAACACCTGTAAAAGTGGTAAGATTAATAGTCCGGTGCTGCAAATTCAGACATAACCCATAGATACATGTGTCATTACACATGTGAAATTTCAACCAAATATGATAACCCTAAGTGGTTTAGGGGAAATCTTTAATGAACACCCCTTGTATTTATCCCTTGTGTAACGTTATTCAGGGTTCCTGGCCATATTTTATCATTTAATATATAAAAGGCTACTTACCTTCCTCACTTTGTGTTCTTTGTATGTTTTCCAGTACTTGTCTTGTTCCATCCACCTTTTGTGTCATTGTTATTGTCCATTTCTCATAAAAATGTATGTTTCATGTTGATACGCAGCTTCTCTCTTCCGCCATTGCCCCATTCTGCATGTGAATGTTCTGCTTTGGTTTCTGTTCTCGTGTTCCTACCTCCCTCTATTAATACACTCACATGCCCAGCTCCAGGGTGACCAGCCTTGGTTGTTCGGCTTCACCTTGCTTATCAACTGTGTTATCAAGCGACCTCCGCCTGGCCTGCTCCGTATTACTCTTGAAGATTCCGGGGTAGAATAGGTCTTCAGCAACCCATACTTGACGTAAAAGGCGACTATGCTTGTCGTAAAAGGCGACTTACGGGATCGGGTGGTCAGGCTTGCTGACTTGGTTGATACATGTCATCGATCCCAATTGCGTGGATCGATGTTCATGATATTAATCACTGGATTGTCTGGTCCAGACTCGATTATTTACAGACCGCTGTCATATAGCTGGAATATTGCTGAGTACAGCTTTAAACAACAAACCAACCAACCAACCGTATTAATCACAGCAGGCGCAGCCTCTTCAGGCACTGCATCTTCAACCTCAGGCGCCACCTATTCAGAATTTGCCGACCTCATTTCGTTCATGTCAGTTCAGTGAGCTTACCACTTCATCACCACAAGGTACATCTCAACTTCCATCATCACCCACAACCTGAAATAACTGCCTGCCAGTGGCTGGTAACTTTTCTGTCGGGCTGCATGAAATTTTCTTCCACCTGCCCGATGGTCTAACATATTCAGTTTTATTATAACTCCTTGTAGATTCTCAAGTAATTGTTTGCATTATTTCAACTGAATGAAGACGCGATTTGCCCCTAAGTTTTTGCGATTTTTCAATATTTATCAGGTCTGAATGCGGGTGGGTAACTTTGAAGATGGGCAGGCAACACTCGTGGGTCACCTGCCTGACTGTCTTGTTGGGTTATAAATTTATTTCAAACGCTGTCCTGCAAGGCATTCCAGATCACATTAGCCATTTCCCTTGTAGGGTTTTGAAGCCTCTGCAGCAGTAAAGCAGCCTGTCTACTCTTCAGATCCCGTGGATCATGGATCATCGAGGAGCCTGTCCTGCCTTCGGCTATATGCTCCTTTGATCACAAACTTACTACACTTACCTACGCGGTCCCTGTTCATTACTTGGTTGATGGCATCATAATCAGTATCACTCAAGGGTTTGCTTCCCAAACCTGCCATCACACTGTCTTGATTTGAATTATGGTTACGCTGTCACTGATCTGGTCTACCCATTCAACCTGGCAACTTCCAGGTCTCACTTGACTTTCGGGATACCTACCTGCATGTCCTGATTTTTCCAGCCCATCGTCAGTACCTCTTCAACATCCGGCAATACAAAGGGAAAGTCCTGTTGTAAGGCATCTCTATGGCCCTGTGGTTTTCACCCGTATTACACCAGCGGGGATCCCATTCAGCTTGTACGTCAAGGAATGCCTGATGAGCAAACCCTCATCTCAGCTGCTTCACAGACAGGTCAGATTTACACTCCGTCTCCTTCAGCAGATCCGTTTCGACTAGTCAAAGTTAACACTCTACAAGACCCTTCAATTCATAGGGGGACTTTTTGACACACGTCAAGAACTCCTTGTTCCATGTGCACAGTGGAACTTGCTTCAACCTTTGATCCATGCAGGCCTGTCTCCTGGCTTCAAGATTCACAGGTGTCAATGCCTGCTTAGGGCAGGACTCAACCCATTTAGGGCATCTGCAGCTAGGTCTTACTCCAGCCGTGGTTCGATCAAGACATGCCTGACAACATTCTATGACTCCCCGCCTTGCTGCACCATCAAGTCGAATGTCTTGTATGGGTC